GTGCATGGGGCCTCACTTACAAAATGGTTCTTCCACAAAGCCCACCAACCAACCAACCAATGAAGGAAGCTCCTTTATATAGCATGAGCCTAATGATAACAATTATGTTTTACTCTGAGTATTTATGTATTTAAACATAAAAGCAGTGTTGATGCCACGTGCTGACACAACCATCATCTAATTACATTGCCTAAACTGCTCTGTCTGGGAGTGATGAATGCACATAGATTGTGGCCAGGGGATTGATTGTCTGAGAGGAATAGAGACAATTTTCTTGTTGTCCAGAGCTGCAAGATGTTTTTGGTGACATCTGATAGTCAAGTATTACTAATGTGTCCTGTATGATCCCAAGACTATCCCATTACCTTCACTGCCAGAGGGCAGGCATATTTGAATGACAGCGAGATGTTGTTTCTCATCAGCTCCTCAAAGCATTTCCCACTTCCAGCTACCATCACTCGTCTGCCTAAGAGCAGGCAGTCTGATGAAATTCCCAGTATTTCCTGCCAGGCAGGCAAAGCCACAGGAATGGACTCTGGCATTTTTTCAGCAAGTCCCATTCCAGCCTTACCCACAGGCTGGAGGTGGGGAGAGGCCTGCAAAAGGGGCCAATAAGGAGGGAAATAAAAGTTAAGTTGAACCAAACATTTCAGAATGGCTAGAGAGGTTCAGTTGTGGTTTGGATCTAGAGATGGGTGGAAATGTGGAATGCAGGCTTACATTTCCCAGACCCATTCACCCATCCCTACTTTTTCATATATTTTGTTTTCCTGAAAGTGCAGCTCTGGATTCCATATAGAAACCCCCATAGATAAACATTGTAAGGTCCCAGCCTCTCTCTATTACACTCATTCTGCTACAGGACATAATCACAATCTCTCTTTAAGATTTTGTTTTTATAGCATCATTAACCTTTTCCTTCCTGGAACAGTGTGGACATTTATTTTGGCTCCTGCAGCTTTTTGAGGACAGATCTGATTTGGATGCACTAAAGCAAATGTCCTTAATCTCAGTAAGGTCAATCACTTAATTCTTTCCAGGACTTCCTTCTATGGAGTGATTTCCTCCTGGAATCATTTGCTTTATGGGTAGGGGATTTACAGGGCAAGACTGAACTCTCATGGTCACCAGCATAAATCTGGAACAACTCCTGTGGTTTCCAGGCAGTCGATCAAGATTTGCACTAGCATCAGAGAGATCAGGATCTAGCTCAGCGTGGTTGATTGTGCTTGGAAACAAAGGTTACTGAGAATAAGAAATATATGAAGGTTGGAAATTTCTGACAGAAAATGGGTCCAGTCTGAAGTCTCAATAAAAGTTTTAGATTTTGCATGTATTCACTAAAAGGACATTATCAAATACCATGTATCACAGTCTTAGACCACATTCTGAAAGCCTCACTCAGTCTTTACTGTTCCGTGAGATGTTTGCTTGAGTAAGAATTATTGTGGGACTGCAGGAGTTGGTGCAACATTGCCACCAACCCCTGACCCATTCTGCCCTTCCCAATGCTTAGACATCTGAAACACCAGCTCTACAGAGACTGACTTGCTTGCTTAACTTCATTCATTGTGAATCATCCCATTTAAGTCAATGGGATCATTCACAATATGTCATGTTAAGCACATGTGTAAGCCTTTGAAGGATGAGGCCTTATGTTTATAGCAGAGGTGGGGAACCTACGGCCCCTGGCTTGCCTGGATCTGGCCCCTGAGGCTCAGGGCTCTTCCCCCTGTTCCCCCGCCCACAATCCCACCGTGGGGCTGGAGCACACAAAATCTTGCCTGGGGAGGGTCAGAGGTCCCTGACCCAAAAAAGGTCTGTAGTCTTTTGAATTGTCTTCACTACCATGATGAGCATCTAGGTCTGAGCCCCCAAGTTTAGCCAAGCTCACGTGTGAACCTCTCCACTGCAAAGCCCTATAATATTTATTGTGTCCTCACAGTTTCTGATTCCACCCACATGTGTATCTGGGGCACATCCCTATGCCACTGCTGCCTGTATCTACTACAGGCATCCATTCCTCCCCCACCTTGTGCATAAAGCCTTTTCTCGGTGCTTGTTCAATGTGTAACATTCACACTCAGCATGCAATTCACCATGTGGTTCTCCTGCTCATCAGGCCAGTTATCTCTATTTCTATTAAGTGAATCTCTCATTACTCTGAGTCACTAGGGTTCTCTCCCCAGGAGGAGCATCCTCAGTGTGAGAGGATATCATGACATTGTCTGGAAGGTGAGCCCCAACAAGGGATTGTTTTCCTCTGCTTCAGCTTGACATTCTCCTGCTCCAAGATTTTCATCCTACTTAGTAATACAGAGTCTGTCAGACGTGGGGACCCTCTCCTATGTCCCTGAAAGTCTCTTCTGTGTACATTTCTGTCTCTTCTACATTCTAGCCCCGCCAGTACAGCCTCTCTGGCCAGAAGAGGCCATACTGTGTTTCTGAGGCCATGAACTATATGCACACAGTTGCCACGGTATGGATACAGTGTAGATAATTATACATGCTGCAGGGCAAGAAACTGGATAGTCCCTGCTCTGATGCTGGACTTCTGCCTGCATTATTTTGACTCTTACAGTGTTTTTTTTTTGTTTGGTTTCTTTGTGGGGAAGCGGGCTGGTCATTGGCCTAAGTTAATTTCAGAGTATTTTTGTTAAGTATGTCTGCCTCTCAAACTCACTTGCTAAACTCCTGTCTGCTGCTCCGTTTGCTCACTCCTCTGGTTGGTTAGGAGCTGTCTATTTAAACCTCTGTTCTCCCTGAGTTAGCCCTGCCCTCTTACCAAGGACTCCTCGAGGGATTAGGGATCAAGTAAACTCCTTTAGCCTGGCAGCTCAGCAGACAGCTCCAAAACAGACCACACTATAATCTTCAAGCAAGCAAGGAAAGAAACAAAACAACCTCAACCCCAAAGATCATGTAGCCTCTCCTCCTTCCTTGAGAGAACTCCACCTCGTTTGCTGCTCCCGTTCACTCAAATTAGTTTAAGCAACGCATAAAAAATGTGGACAGGCATCAGAAGACTGGAGAAAAGCAAGCATAATACTAATCTTCAAAAACAGGAGGAGCAGCAATCCTGGCAATTCTTGCCTTTCAAGTCAAATGTAACCGTCACATACTAAATGAAGAAAACAATACTATATCTAAAGGGGACCACGATGAGGATGATTAATAAAGAGAAGAGGCTTATAAAGTCAAGATGATTTTGCCAGACAAATTTGATTATTTTTTCATAAAATTATCAATAATTAGGAAGACAGGAAGTGGTAGCTGACTGTTCTTGGATTGTAGTAAAGTACTAGAGAGATACATTAATTCAAATGAAGTTATGTAGGGACATCATCATATGGGCTGAAAGGTAAACAGTGATAAATGGCCAAGTATCAAATTGCAGGGAAGTGGCCAAAAAAATGGGTGTAGCAAATGTTTTATTTGATATAGTCATTAATGATTCAGAAAAGGAAGGAGGCAGTGTGATTATTAAATTTTCAAATGACACTTTACGGGGAAGAGATACAAAAACCAACAAGGACAGAAACTTGGAGAATATGACAAAAATGAGACAATGTGAAAAATGCAGCTCAATATGCTGATGGGGAAATAATCCCAAAGAAAGATATTCCATGGGAGAACAAAACCAGGAATGCAGTGGTGCTGTCAGAAACTTTGCAGAGATAGCATACAGGAAATTAGATATGAGTTTGCAATGTGTCACAGCAAAAGGCCCACAATTTTGGGCTGTGCATCATACCCCAGAGCAAGGAGATGAGATGTTCTCTTTGGATCTTGGGTGATTAGATCTGGAATATTGTATTCACTTCTGAACAGCTCATTATCAAAATGACTGACAAACTGGAGGAAGTTCTGAGAATTATTGCGGGCTGGAAATATTGACTGAAGGAAAGTTAAAAGGAGCTGAATATGTACAGATTGTCTCCAAGAGATGACTAAGGTTAGGTATACACTGTAGAAGTGTTAATCATATAATTATATCAGTTTTCTTTTAAACTGACATAGTTATGCTGCAGTGAAGGGTTTTCATACCAATATAGTTTTTTCCCTTCACCAAACCACTGTAATCAATGCCAGTATAAGTATTTTTATACAGCTGTAACTGCCTTTGTAAAAAGGGACGGAGTTGCCATCTTAAATTATGCTGGCATAGTTCAAGAGGCAAAACTTTTAAGTGTAGACAGGGACTAAATTAGAATGTACCAGTTTAAACAGGTACATAACTAGGAATAACATGGTGAAATTAGAAAAAGGAAAATATAGACTAGTAATAGCAGGACAGACTTCCTGACAAACATGGAACATACTGCTTCCTTGGGAGATATCTCAAATTAACTTTGGGAGATTTAAAACCAGAATAGAGAAAACTTTAGGAAATGTAGCATAGACAACAACCCAGCATTGAGGTGAGGAAAGGATCAAAATGGCCTGCTAGACCTTTGCCATCTCTACTGTCATTGGTACACTCCAGTTCCATACGATGAACCAAGATATTCCACCCTCCACCCAAATGACTTAAAATTTAGCTGAAATCTTTGGCTTAAAAGTGAACAAATGTGCTAAGTACTTGTTTTGCTTCACAAGATAGTGTTCCTTAAAACAGTTACAATGTGATGCTAGAGAGTCCTAGGGGCACGTCTAAACTACAAAGATTTTTTGAAAGGATATGCAAATCCCATGAGAATTTGCATATTGTCTTCCAATCGCATTTTCGAAAGAGGATCTTTTGAAAATGAAATTAGTCTGGACACGTTTTTTTCGGGAAAAAAAAACCTTTTTCAAAAAACCATGTAAACCTCCTTTTTTTTTAGCAAGAGTGGTTTTTTCAAAAAAGGGTGTTTTCCCCCAAAAAAGTGTCAAAACTACTTTTATTTTCGAAAGATCCTCTTTTGAAAATGTGATTGGAAGAAGAAATGCAAATTCATGCGGAATATGCATATCCTCTTTCGAAAAAATCTTTGTACTTTAGACATTCCCCTAGTGAATTCTATTTTCTATCCTTCAGTTGAAGATAATTCAGACACAGGCTGGACAAATTTTGTGTGACTGCTCCTAAAAGCAATACTGTGTGACCCTATGTTCTCCCTGATGGTTTTGCAGCAGCAGTTCACTAGCAAGTTTGCTTTTCAGAACTGTGTGACAATCAATGCTGGAGATATTAAAACAAGCCAACAAAATGAACCATATCGTCTTAGCTGTATTCAAAATACACAGAGAGAGAAAATCAATGTTTTTCAGATGGAAGGCCACAAATCGGCAGGAAAAGAAGTGCCATTTTCAGGTGTTTAAAAGGGTATTAAAAGAACAGTTCTAAAACTGTACTTGATTGAGTTCTTTAGAGATGAGATAAAGGTGTTTTCTTCCTCAGTTGTGGTTTCGAGCCTTTTTACTCAGTCTTTGTCCAGCTGTGTTTGGCGATTGAGGTCTGAGAGTGTACTTGTGTGTTTTTTCCAGCTGATACTGGAGTATGTTTGTTTTGAACAATATGGCTTTGTTCTTTTGTTGAACGCCGCAGTGCTGGAGCTGTTGCTTAAAAAAAAAGAACAAACATATTAGAAAGTTACAAAAAATTATTCTGATTAGCTCGAGAGAACAGTGCGATGTACTTGAGGGAGCAGACTGAAATGATGTATGAAGTTTACTAAAACAGTAATTTAAAGACAAATGTTCAGAGAGTGATACCCACATGTTCCCCTCCACATTCAGGCTCACATAAGAGCTTCTTCTAAGATACACCTGTAAAATTTTTTACAGTATTCCTCGCAAGACTTCATAGGAGGTACTAGTTCCCACAGCTCATCTATGGAGATTCAGGGGTTTCTGGCCAATTATTTGGGGGAGGGTGGTACACCTAGTATCTAAGGTCCAACTGCTGCTAAGTGACTCTGCTAATCTTTATCAAATGAGGAACAAGAGCAGGCTGGTATCCCCTTCAGCCTACTGCTGACCAATCCATTAGGGAGGGAAAATGCTGCATAGAATTTATCCAGAGAATGACATCTGTGGTGAAGCAAACTCGTGTATAAAAGTGTAAACTCTCTGGTTGCTGAGTAGAAAAGGTTGAACCTTCACAGTTCAACTCTACAGTGGTCAGTCCCTTGATGAAATACAATAAGCCAGGAAGGATTAATTCAGAGTACATATGAGGGAAAATAAAGTAGATGGTTAGGAAGGGTAATTTATTGAGCCTGACTCTGCCCTTATTTACACCATGGCTTTTGCTGGGTTGGCTCCTGATTTACCTCAGTGTAATAATAGAAACAGGCTCATAGAATAGATGACTTCCCTTCACCCATCATATAAGATCCTCTCAGATATGTTCTTCTCATTTACATGAGACTGAGAAGAGTGGGAACTGCACTATGAACAAAGTTTAAAAAGAAGAGGAGAATGTTTTCTTAAACATTCTCTTCAGCTCAGGTAGGGATCAAATGATATGAAACCACAGGAGGAGCCCAGATGGGGAAGATTACTTCACTATTGTACAAGCTCTTAATAGAGACATGGAAGGGCTGGGAGTTATGTTTTATATGCTTGGATCAATTATATTGGAAAACAGAATGAAGGGTATGGAATGAAGTACTTTGGGAGGAAAAGTAGATCAAACATACACAGATAAGTAACATCTGAGCAACCAACAGAATTCTACAGACAGGTAGTGGGAAGAGCTTTGCAAAGTGATACACATTTGGGGAGGTTTGGTCCAGCATTCATATGAACAAATTCAAATTACTCTCAGGACAAAACTGGTCTGGCAATAGCTGTGTCTGATGTCAGGACTAGAACCAGGAAGGAACAAAGGGTGTCTTTAAACCCCCTCTTTTTCTGAATGTTGTGAACACTGCCATGGTAAATAATGCATGAAGTGAAAATTGTTTCCTCAGCCAATGCACATAGAGGATGCAGAATGTGCACTAATTAGGCACATCCGTGCACTAATTTTTATTTACATTATATGTTTAATTCAAAGGAAGCTAGAAATATTCAAAAATAAACAAAATAAAAAAACATAAAAAGAGAAAGGGCAGAGACTGAGTACAGGCAGTCACCGGGTTACATACAAGATAGGGACTGTAGGTTTGTTCTTAAGTTGAATCTGTATGTAAGTCGGAACTGGCGTCCAGATTCAGCCGCTGCTGAAACTGACCAGATTATATGTTTAATTCAAAGGAAGCTAGAAATATTCAAAAATAAACAAAATAAAAAAACATAAAAAGAGAAAGGGCAGAGACTGAGTACAGGCAGTCACCGGGTTACATACAAGATAGGGACTGTAGGTTTGTTCTTAAGTTGAATCTGTATGTAAGTCGGAACTGGCGTCCAGATTCAGCCGCTGCTGAAACTGACCAGCGGCTG